ACTCGCGTCTATCAATGGATCTATCATTGGAAAAAAATCGAAGATACTACTACTTCCCTCTTTGATCAATTTGATTTTATTCACTAATGATATTACAAAAAGATTACAAATGCAAATAGCTACGTGAATTTACGTCAATTTCAAAAGAAACCTGAGACATTAAAAATAGATGCTACCACCAGTGATACATATCTCTCTCTCTCTCTCTCTCTCTCTCTCTCTTTCTTTCGTTTGCAACAAAAGTGACGCAATTTAAACACTATAAATTTTTGAGAAAAGAAAACATTCTACGCTTTGCATACCGATAAACGAAAAACTATATTGCATATAATAATATCGATGAAAAATTGTTTCTGTTACGAAATCACGAAAATTTTTTTTCGAGTTAAAAAACATTGGATAAAGTTCTACAAATTTTTTTACAATTTTTATTCACAAGGAAAAAAATTATCTAAAAAATATAATTATTTTTATTTAATCCTGGTCAAATACAAAATTTTCGCTAATTTTGTTTTAATTTAAATTCTTTTTACAAATCTCTTTTAAATAAATATCAAACACAAAAATGTTTAAAATATAATTTTTTCCCTCTCTTATTTATTTTATAATAGAAAAAAAGACCTCGATACATTTCAAAATTTCACACTTTCACCGATTGAAAATAAAATCGCGCCAAAAATATTTCAATCTTGTAGATTTATCAACAAAGACAAACTTGAAATAAAATTCAAAGCTTCCAAAAAAAAAAAAAATAACGAATCTTCACCGAAAGCGTCGTCGCTTTATTGACAAATGATTTTCGCACATGGCAGCGATTCATTCGAACGCGTTTCCTATAAATATCAAATATTGACCAAGGCAACCGGTGAAAAAGCGAAATTCCATGTTTCTCTCTCTCTCGTTTCGAAAACGTCACCACCGAAAAACGAAAGTTTAAAAGGAACTCGTAAATCTCGAATCTTAGAATGCAAATATCGATCTATCTTCGATTATTTTCCTTCCATGCAAATTGGCTAGCCCGAGCCCGTATTCGTGGAATTGCAATCGTGATAATTAAACATCGTGATTTTCATGCTTCGCGCGAATCATGCGAAATTTTTTTTCACTTTAATATTAAGAAAGAACTTAAGAAGAAAAAATTACGATCGGAAGATTTTCACGGAATGGTGGAAGGAATTTAGAATTCTCGTAGTGAGCGAGAATTGGATTTTGAAGTATGTCGATGTAATACAATTTTTGCGTTCATTGGAACTTGAATGTGATTTATCTTAGTCGAATTTGATGACTTATTTTCAACTAGTAACGAATATTAAACGAGTGGGAATTAAAGAATTATGGAAAAACTTGACTTTTCGAATTGAATCGAAGATAATTAATTTTACGTAAGAAATTGTGAGAATCGATGGATCAAGTATTAAGAAGAATTGATTTTTTGCGAAGAGATCGATCGTGAAACTATCGAGTTTGTTGTAACAGATATTTGTCGTGGCAAGTAGTGGAGATCGCGATATTATCAGACACATCTCGCGTATAATAATAGTAGACGAATTTAAATTCTGTAGAAGTTACATTAAATTTATTGTCATTAATTTTACCGTAGAAAAATTAAAGAATTGTAAAAAAAAAAAAAATAAAACAAATCGAAAACAAATCGTTTTAGAATTTCTATATTACAATCCTCTAAAAATTGATTAACAATATTTCCAATAAAATTTCAATGAATGGATAAGTTAGTGAATTGAAAAATTATTGAAGGAAAATTTTAAATAACAATAATCACCGAAATACTAAAAATAATATCTTTTTGAAAACCTAAATAAAATTATCTTATTGATATATCTATTCTAACTTAATTTAGTTATTTATATATAATTTAGTTTATTATATATAACTTAGTTTAGTTATTGATCGCTATTAAATTGCTAAAAAAAAAAAAATAATAAAAAATAAAAGAAATCCTCGAGAAATTTATCATTACTTGAAATTTAATTAAAATTTCGAAATAAGAAAAAAATAAAGGAAGATCGATTCATTCTAAGCTGTTTCCTGTTTAATAAACGACCGAGCTAGCTCGCCAACGGTGTTTTTTAATTAATCACGTTCACTTCTATGCATCTACATTCGCAGAAACGACAGAAAATCGGCCTCGTGTACGTGTAAACATCCACATGTGGAACTCTCGTAACTAATGGAGGCAAATTTACGTCGGCTCGTTTAATCTATTCGCTGTTCGATAGATCGATACATAGGAAGATAATATAACTCGTATTATTGCGTGTCATTGATGATTTCCATTGATGACGACGGAAATACAAAATAGCTATTTATTTTAGAATTTTTTACATTGAACAACGAAACTGGGGAAAAGTTAATAATTCTATTAAAAAATACAACATTTTTTTTAACCTTTATCGCTTCAACCTATTTCTAATAAAATATAACGTAGAAGAATATCACGAAAATCACGTTAAAAAAAAAACATTTCTCTCTCAATCACAAAATTAAATTGTTAATCGATTAAATCAAACTCTTATAATTTTACCTGTCTAATTTTATTAAATTAAAAGCCTATCTAAATCATCGATCCCTTCCTCTAGTAAAATTAAATCAATAAAATATTGTAATTTTCTTCACAATTCATTCTAATGCAAATAATAATCTAACCCTTGGTCCACAAATCGATCATCCGAGTATTTCAAGCTTCTCAAGGGCAACAAGATCCTGCCAAGCTCCAAAAAAAAAAAAAAGAAAAGAGAAAAATCTATCCTCGACCTGTCACAGGAGACAATTTCGATTATCTCGCGAGAGATCGATCGGCAAAGAAGTGACAAGATTCACTCGCGAACTCGGTCAAACGATACTTGGCCACGCGTTTGCCAAGATTATCCGGAAACTCGTTCTAACGTTACCATGGCAAATGTCCAATCTGGACCTATGCGCCTATCAAATGCACACAGAATGCGGTCGTGAAAGCGCGCACACCAACTGTGTCTGGCAACAGCCGAGTTCTGTGCATTCTTATCGAGTTAAAAAAATTTTCCTGCCCGATTTACTTTCCAATTATTATCTCTTGATCTCGTTCCAAATATTAACCTCCACTCCAACTCGACTTAAATGTATTATATTTTTGTTTCCTATCATATAAAAAAATTAAATCTATGTATAAATGTATGAAAATGATCGATAATTAAATCTCTCAACACCTCGATTAATCAACAAACTTCTTTCTCGAATTCGCGAATAAAATCGTGGAAAAAAATTTAACAAAGCAAGAATTTAATGGAACACCGGTTGGAGAGGGATGATAATCGAAACGAAAATCACTGACCATGCCCAACCATCCAAATGATCCAAGAAATTGAGTAACCAGAATAATCTTTCCACGCAAGAATTAATAGCATTCCCATATTCTCTTCGTATAAACGATCCAACGAGTCGAAATTCGGCCTACTAAATCATCCGAGCCTCTCTAAACGGACTAAACCATCGGCTATCAATTACAAACGGACCCGATAAATCAGTTAATATCAGTTGGGAACCCTTTCGAAACTCAAGAATGCCCGATTACACGCTCGGATGAGAATAATTGATAGTAGCAACACGCTCGTGCGATCAACAGTGCGGATAATCGAAATCTTTTTATTCTGTTTATCTGAATTCGAATAAGATGTATGTATATATATATATATAAAATGTATATAATTATATTTTTGTTGCGAAATATCGAAAGTTGATATGATTACACGGTACGGATATATTAGATAAATACATAGCGCGTAAATATTTGTGCAAATATATTCTTGTTCGCGAGCTGACAAGTAGATTTAGAGTAAAGATAAAATAAATTTTAACTTTCGTTATTCGCTAACTTTGTGTAACAAATTGCGCGGATGTTACGTATTATTGCGTTAAGTTTATTTTATATATATATATATATATATACGCAACGTGGAGGGAATTAAAATATTATTTGAAACCGGATCTCGAATTTTTCGATTAAAAATTGAAAATTGAAAATCGAATATTATAGTCGAATAATCTAAGGGAATCATTATCAAGGGAATAATTAAATTAGAAATACAAAAAAAGTTATTTAAAAATTTTGATAATCGAATAATCGAGACGGATACAAAGACGGGTTTTAAATTTTAAGGGGTTAATTTATCTCCCTTGAAATAAAATTTGTTAAAAGATCAATGGAAAATCTCGAGAGAGGAAAAAAAGGGGGAGAGGGGGGAAAAATAATCGAACAATCTAAAAATCTCCAGCAAGGCATCCAAACACCGTACACACCCATCATCTAAAAATAATCTTCTGCATCCCGGTTAGAAGTCATCGTCCAAGTGACCTCTCTAGGGACGCAGATCCCGCTTAGAAATCGCTTTTTACCAAGAAAGAAATGCAAATTGCGCGAAAATATTTGGCGCGTTCAGTGTATAACTATTCGAGTGTTTAAAATTGTTGAGCCCGTTTCCAACGCGAGATCATTTACGAAATTAAATAACGTAAATAATCTATCACTTGGGGTTAAGCATGTAAGTAACTGAAACCACTTCTTCGATACCTTCGTAATTAATGCTTCTAAGTTATATATAATTAACAAATATTTAAATTTTTAACGTGGTCGTGTCTCGGATTTGAGAAATCCGATTTGAGAAATTGAGATATAATTTAATAACTGAAATTTTTAACTCGTGTTTGTAAAAAGATATAAGGGAAAAGAATTTTTTTTTATTTGTAACATTATATATTATTCACGTTTTATTTCTTGTATTCCGAATTATAAAGAAAGAGGGAAAAAATGTGAGTCAAAGTAGAATAAATTTTAAATAATTTAAGAAAAAAATAGTTTCATTGAATATTTTAGTCGATATTCTACTTTGAAAATTTTTCACATTTTTCCGATGCAAGGAATATTCCCGGATTTGGTCATTAATTACGAAGTTATTAAAATGATTCTACAGGCAAAATGATTAAGAGATTAAGATTGTCCGACTCACCATTCCATGGCAAAGATTGACAGTGACAGCGGATTGTGGATCACCGTCCACGGTTCCGCTGTAGAAGCAACCAAGTTCAGGGCCTGGATTTTCCCTTCTGCTGGTATTCTCGGTGATGCGTGTGATCTATTCAAACAGTAAAAGCCAAAAATTAGTCGCATATTTCGTTATCGTCGTAAATTCAAAAATAAACGAAAAAATTTTACGCAATATGACGAGTCTCTATTTAATGATATTTAATCCCAATTTTATTATTATTTAAAACGTATGCATATATATAATAAAATAATCTTGATATTCGAAAAATATTCTACTACAAAAATTTGTCGCATATTTTGTTATCGTCGTAAATTATTACGATAATATACAACAAAGTAGAAATCTCGATCGAGAATTTTCGTTTGAAGATACAAAGAATTCAAAAATAAACGAAAAAATTCTACGCAATATGACGAGTCTCTTGATATTTAATGATATTTAATCCCAATTTTATTATTATTTAAAACGTATGCATATATATAATAAAATAATCTTGATATTCGAGAAATATTCTACTACAATTAGATTAAGATGTATCTTACATCGAGAAATTTTTTCTACGTAAAAAAAAAAAAAAAAACTTTTACAAATTCGTTTATTTTCTCAATCAATAAGATAGATCCAGAAGCAAAAAGAGAAAAAAATTTTCGAAAATTCCTACTCTATCTCTACTATTTATTTTCAACGATCGAACATTCGCGTATCTAAAAAATTTCGAAATAAATAATTCAAGAACGAAGCTCGAGGCAATTTTTAACGCCTCGTCGTTTTACGACGTGGGAAGGAGAAAAATTATGCAAGCTTCTCCACAGAAGCACACTCGATAATATCGCGAATGAATGCATTAGCATAGCGTAATAACGAGCGAGACGAGATAATTTTTCCGACAATCGGATTAACCCTAAACTAATCGAACGTGGCGAGATCGCGCGATTATCGAGCGTTGGCGATTTAACAAATTTAATAAATTAAAAAAAACGCACCGTGCGAATCGAATCGAGAAAAATGGATGGACGTATTTACGTATTTTTATATTTTTACCTTAATATTGGGCGAGACGAAGCTCGTGTCGTGAGCCAACAGCAAACGAAACCGTCTCCCGAAAGCGGTGAACTCGTACTGAGGACGAGAATCCCAAACTTCGGCTGTCGCCGGTCGAAAGTGCCCGCTGTGGCGTCGTTTCGCCGAGAATTCGTTCGCTGTAAACAAAAGGAATGGAAACATTAGAAAATTTCTAAGAATTTCGTACGAAACGAAAACATTTGGAAATTTCACAGAATCGTGCGTATTGTTTGGAAACATTTCATAAATTCCATTGAATCGTATTTATTATTCATTCGGAGACGGAGATATATAACACTTTCGTATATACTCTCGTACGTGTCGTACGTATTTTATTTCCTCGCTATTTTAAATTGCAAATTATCGATATTTTTATACCCAATATATTTTTTTTATGAAATATACGATTACAATTAATTTGTAATACGTAAGTTTTTTTTATTAATCAATTACATTCTTACGTTATTATTATAACAAGCTCTTTTTATTTCTTTTTTTACTTAAAACGGCCAATCTATTAAAAAAATTTTATACTCTTCTTTTTCTAATATCGCGAATGAATGCATTAGCATAGCGTAATAACGAGCGAGACGAGATAATTTTTCCAACAATCGGATTAACTCTAAACTAATCGAACGTGACGAGATCGCGCGAGTATCGATCGATGTTGGTGATTTAATAAATTTAATAAATTTAAAAAAAACGCACCGTGCGAATCGAATCGAGAAAAATGGATGGACGTATTTACGTATTTTTATATTTTTACTATTTTGCAAATAGTCTCTTTATCTCTTGTATTATAATCGTACGATTTTCAATGAAGACGTTATACGCAAAATAAAAAATAAAATTTCACTTCAACGAATATCTCGGAAAAAACACCGTTACAAATTCTCGTGATCAATCATTATAATAGTCCAATACTCGTTCCATCCCTTCCCGTTGCCGTTTCATGAATCCTAATAATTATCCCATCCTATCCTCTCCATAATATAACTGGACACCGTTCAACCGCTCCTTCGAATACTTAAAGATACGAGGTGCGTGCTGGCCGGCTAACTAGTTCATTTGTCGCCGGTAATCGTTGACAGTCGAAGTTGGCAGAGCGAGCGTCCGGTGCGTGACAAAACGCGCGTGTCGCGCCTCCACGCAAGTCGAGCCGAGTTTTCCATCTCGTTTCCCAACCCCCCTCGCAAAACGTGTTTTACCGTAAAACCTACTGTTTCATTAACTGTTCACAGGTCGCGTGACTATTAATTCGCGCCGATTATTTCTTTCACAGGTCGGGAAGGGAATAAATCACGTTTAAATCTTCGTTTACCTCTCTCCTCTCTTTTGCGGAGGATGAAGTTTCCATGGCGATCGAAGAAAATTTTAATTGTGGAAGGACGAGGCTTTAAAATAAAAATAGTTGAAATGAATTGAAATATATATCTATCTATTTTTGCTCAACGTTAAAAAAGAATTTCGATTTTTGCAAGGACGTTACTTGAAATGAATTCAAATGTACATCTATCTATCAATGTTAATCGATTGATCCTTAAATCTTCGCAAGTATAAACGATAGTATACGATTATTTTTTATTCGATGAAACAAAAATCGTAATTTTTGCTTAAAAAAGAATTTCGACTTTTGGAAGGAGGAGGCTTTAAAATAAAAATACAGTTACTTGAAATGAATTCAAATGAATTCAAATACATCTATCTATCAATGTTAGTTCAATGAAACAAAAATTGTAATTAAAAAAGAATTTTGGAAGAACGAGGCTTTAAAATAAAAATACAGTTACTTATATACGATTATTTTTTATTCAATGAAACAAAAATTGCAATTTTCGTTTAAAAAAGAATTTCGACTCTAAGAAGCATCAATATCATATTGAAAAAAGGAAAAGTAATTATACTTATATTCCTCCTCCTCAAAATTGCTCGATCCAATTCAAAAGATTAATCATATTTTGAAAAAAGAAAAAAGAAAGAAAAACATTTCCAATTATCTGTCCACTAAATATCTCTTTCTCTCTTTCTCTCTCTCTTAAATCTTATCACCCGTCCCGTTAATCGTCATCATTGCACGTGAGTTAATTTCGACGCGATCGATCGAGCAACGGCGAAATATATTTCCCAAATACGTGTCGCGTAACAATCTCTTCGATTGTTCGATTGTTGATCGAAATCCATCGGGTGTTGGATCATCGAAGGGAGGCGAGACGCGCGGAAGGACGAGAGACGATTCGATAATTAGCGCAATTATAGATCGCGATGCGTTCGACGATCGGAACGTGGCCGCGCGATCCTTGAAGCGTATCGGCGTTTGGCCGTGGCGTTCTATACACCACCTTTATCAGGATCACGTTCGCCTCGTTAAGCTCTCGATTGTGCGAGACGCGGCACGCACCGACGAGCAGATAAAAAAAAGAGAAAGAAAAAAAAAAAAGAAAAAAGAAAGAAAGCAGACGATGCGACCGGAACCAGATTATTTATAAAAGGACATCTGCGACCGCGGTTCTTGGAAGCGTTTCGATGCGACGATCGTGCGATCGCGTCGAATATTTAACGTTATTTTGTTTCAAGATTCGATTCCATCCATGCACGATATATTTAAGGAAGGGATTGGAAATTTTTCTTATACACACCCTTTTGTATCCGTTTAAAGGATTAAACACGATCGTAAGTTTAAAGTTTTCTTTTTAAAACGAGAGAAAAATATTCATTCGTTCCTTTCATTTTTTCTTCATTTCAAGAAGACTCTTCTCATCAAAGATGATTCAAACATTTCCTCGTCCTCTTAATTTCCAATCCCAATAGTGAAACGGGGGATCCCCACGGCGAGGCGATTGAAATTTTCCCCGATCGGTAACACGATCCCTCTCTAACCGAGCGGGATCATCTCTCGCAATTAATCGTGATCTCGAAATCGTTTGAAAAATGGCGGGAATATTTATCGAGAATCGTCGTAACGGTGGCCAGCACGCGATCCGTAAGGAAATAATTTCACGGGCCGAAACTTCCGGGATTAGATTCGTATCTCGGTTCAAGAGAGGGAGGGGAGGAGAATTTATTCATGACGTTTGACCCACATTTCAAACGGTTGGCGTCCCAAGATTTAACTTGGTTGCCGTGAAACCCTTGAAAACAGCCGACACTCCTCTCCCTCTCGAAAATTTCCTTCTCGAGTTGCGTTCGATTATGGATTATTAATCCCTTCTTTTGAGATTATAATGATTATAATGGTGTCAGGGATGTAATAATTTATATTGGTCGATACTTTGTCAATTTGCATCAATTAAATTATGTGTTTATGGTAATGCGTTTGCGATTCTGCTTGCTTTTCTGCAAGAATCGAATATTTTATTATAATTACATCGGATGTTTACGATCTTGATTCGATTTCGTATTTGATCTCTGGTTGTTACGCGTTAGATTCGAAATAATTTGCTACATCTATAATCTAATTTATTAATTTAAAGTAATTTATTTAAATTTTTACATGACACTAGCATCTTGAAGTTTCGAACGATTAATTTTAATTTATCTCTAGCACGTATCTTTTTCGCTTTACACAGATGAATATGGCTGATAATCGTTAAATGATCGATGTTACGATGAAAATATGAGAGATATCGTTATTACAGTTAATACTTCACTTTAGATAACGATCGTTGAGATGTTAAGTGGAGACGACTCAACACGATCGATTATCGAATATAACGAGACGATAATCAATGATTATTAAACTTACGTGGATCCTCGTACTGATTCTCGGCCAGTTTCATCAATTGGACGTACTCCAAGTCAGGTTTCCGAGAAAATGATTTCGTCTTCTTAGAATCACTCTCCTTCCTCGATGATCTCTCCGAGTGTGAAATCACTGTAAGAAAAATAATACTTCAATTAGTAATTCAACCCATTCGATATGTTTCTTATCTAAATTTATAACGTGCTCGATCTAATTATAACTAATTTCATTATTTCCAGAATTAACACATTATCAATTCCGTTATTACTTTTTTCTTCAAGCAAACTCTTTACACTCCGATGTACAAATAACAATATAACAATTTTACAAAAATTAGAGAATTTTATTTAAAAAAAAAAAAGAATCACGTTCCAAAATATCGTTAAAAATCTTAAAACTTCACTGCAAATTTCATCGATCGATAAAGACACGTTACGGGGCGAGCAGCGTCGAGAGAATCACATTAAATATCGCAAAAGAGCCGTTGAGTTCCCCCTTCGCCGCCACGGTATTAATTTCGATCTCGAGCTCATCGTGTTCGAGATAAGCCGATATATCGAATCGTTGAACACGACGAACGATAGATCCCCCTGTTGTCTTATCAGGATTCAAAGATATATCGCGGTTACAAATTTAAACGAGAATTTCGCGCGATAACCTTACACTTCTGCTGTGAAATTGAAATTAATCGCCCGATCGAGTATTTTTTCTTTTTGACCTTTTCTTTCTTTCTTTCTTTCTTTCTTTTTTTCACGCGCGTTCGAGCGATAAATGAGGCGTAGAAAAAGATGCGCGTTGTGCGTGAGGCAATCCGCGCAATTGCACAATCGAGTTGGAGAAGAAAAATTCGAAATATCCTCCTAGATATCTCGCCATGTAACCTTGACCATTAACACGCTAAGGCGACACTTCCGGTTGACGAGTATCTCGAATTTGTTTTTTTTTTTTTAAAGAGAGTTATTAATTAAAGTCCGAGTTTGTTCGAGCAAAATTTCGAGGATAATTTTGGGTGTATTTTATTTATTCTATATTTTCTATTTTCTTTTTTTGAAATTATATCGAGATCGATCGAATTATCGATACATTCATTTCGTCGATATACGTAGGAAAAATACGTAGGAACGTAATATTATATTTACGTATAAATAAACATTCGAGGTGTAAAAGCGATCCACTTCAGCCCACTGTCCCTCGTAACGCAACACGATGCTGAATCATTAAAACCCTGATCACGCTATCTTTCGCGAAGCAAATTCAGAAAAAACGCTATCGCGCGTTTTGGAATCGAAACAGAGTTGTTAATTCTGTCGAATAATCTTCCAAATGCTCGAAATTCACCGGATGCTAGAAAATGATTTATATTTTTTTTTTTTAATTTTGTATACAATCCTTTCTTTGATCGTACACGAAGTTTCGATTAATCGTTGTTACAATAATTTCAATATCAAACGATCCAATTAATTCAAACGGATATAAATCTCCATTTCTAAAAAAAAAGAAATTAAGAATTATATCGGAAATCGTTACAAATTCTTGCCATTATATTATTCATCGCATTCGTGAATTTTTGTGTCCTCGATTAAACGACTCATCTAAATGCGTCAACGGTATCAAATGCGATCGCAGTATCCAAACAATATTCGTCCCATTTTTAAAATATGCAACGACGAAAATGTAGCAGGAAAAAAGCTGGAATCGACACGTTCGTGATTATCGCTTTGTTTCGTTAAATAATACGATAATAAATGAAATACAAGATGCAGAAACTTCAAATATTATTTGGATTATCACGAGAATGAGAAGATTACAATTCATTCTGAATTTCAAACTAGAAACGATAATTGAAAATCATCTATTAAAAATCCATCGATCTCTAATTAATCTTATAAAACTTTGCACACTATATCCATCCTCCAACATCTCAATCGATTTCAACAAAACCAATACATTTGCGACAAAAATCTGACAAAAGAAGTGATTAAAATTGGTTCACCTAAACCAATAATCATCCTCAAACGATTCACTCCATCCGTTCCATCGAAAGGGCGAGGCCCGTCAAATTCTACGACCAACCTTCAACGTTCGTTAAACACGAAGAAATAAATGGAAACGAACGACCGTGAAAAAAATATCCCTCTATCGATCGGTTCCGGTTCTAGAGATCGACGAGCAATCGGATTGCGCAACTTCGAGCCGATTCGAGAGCCGATTTCCACCGATTGATTTCCACTTTAGCTGGAACGGGCGAAGAGGTGGGCGAAATTTGACGTCGATCGCGCGTCACCTCGATCGGACGACTCGTTAATTGGAAAAGAACGGCACGGAAACCGCGCGCGGAACGTGATTTTTCGCGGAATTTATATGTATAGAAACGTTTTAAATTCTCTTTAGATCTTTAGAGCGATAAACGAGCGCGTAACACAATGGAACTGGATGATTCTATCGATCGGAAAAACACCGATCGAAGATTTTCCACGTAATTCGATTATGGGAAGGGAAGGGATTTCTTTTTCTTTTTCTTTTTTTTTTCTTTGTGTCGGAAGATCGATTCGAACGGTTTCCTTGGAACCTTGGTGGATATCGATGAATATCGATCGATGGAATGGAATGATCGTCGGGCGCTTTTCATATGGAAATAGGAGTCGAGGTGTTTTTGGAATTTTAGTTAATTGATTACAGGTGTGGTTACTGGTAATCGAAGAGAATTGGAATAATCGAGATTCCTCGATGTTTGAATCATTAGAGGAAATAATTGAGTTTCTGTGTTCCTGTTGATTTAGAAATATTTAATGATCGAGATGGAAGAATAATGAGATTCTTCGATTTATTTTTTTTCCCCCTTCGAAGTTGATCGAATGATTTGAATGAGAAATTGAATTATTAAATTTGAATTGTTCTGGTAGATGATTGGTGATAATTTAAAAATCATACTCGAGTGACAATTAAATGATTTGCGACGAACTCGAGATCGTTTAATGTTTATGCAAATAACGAGAATTACTTGATACACAGAATATTGATACTTTTCCAATTATAAGTATCCTTTTGTAGATTTTAGTTACTAATCGCGAGAAATTTCGTAAATAGAAAATCATTAACTATAAAGTTAATTGTAAATAGAAAATCATCGAAGGATTATACACTTGAGCGAAGTGGAAGTACAGTAATATCGACCTAGCTTTCTAATATCGAGTACTTCTATGTTTGACCTAAGCAAACCTAACTAACGAGCTGAGTGGCTTCTTAAAGATTCCAAATATATATTAATTAAAAAAAAAAAAAAAAAGAAAAAGAAAAAAAGAAAAACTGCTGCACGCAACAAAATTAATCATAATCTCTCACGTATTATTACTTATCACGTATTAACTGATTGATTTAAAATCAAAAAAATAAAAGTTGCAGATTTCACAAGTGAAACTTAGACAAGGATTATTATTTTTATTGGCTCTTCAATTTTAATTTTATAACTTACATGAAAATTTAATAATCTTAATTCACTAATCCATCTTTAAGATAATCCTTTTGAACGTTTCTGATAGACAATCCAATCTACACATGAATAAATCGCAATATCGAAAAAGATATGTATCCAATCGTGTAATTAATTAACGCGATCCGAGACGAGAGAGTTGAATAAAAAGTAAAAATCAACCGATAACTTGGCCGACATTCTCGTATACTGGGGACAATAAAATATAGCCTACGTAAGTTGGTACTTACTCGCGAGTAATGCATGTTCCTAGATAGGGAGAAATGGAAATGGACAATTATATATCGTTCTATTAATAACTTTCGTTCTTTTCTCCTATTCCACTTTTTCTTAAGTTATAGTTTTTATAATTCCTTTTACAAATCGTAACTATCTTTACTCAAAAACCCAATTTTTAATCCTTCTTCTACTACTATTATTATTACTAGATATTATTACTATACTACTAAATTCTCAAAATTTTTATCAATTCTACTATCAGATACTCCATTACTATTTATTTATTACTAACCATTTTACTCATTTTCTATTCTACAAATATCCATCCTAAAAATAAAACTCAAACAACTCTGTCCCGAGAAATCTTCTCCGGAATCTTAATCCCAAGTTATCCTTCTAAATTCCTCCCTCCTTCGTTAAAATTTCATCCCTATAACGATAACGATCAACGATGTTCGCTACCGCGGCTCGTTAACCCAGGATCGTCCGGCCCGGAGTTAGCCAGAGTTGAAAACAATGAGAGGAGAAATTTTGACGTCCCACTCGCTTGGTGTATCGTATACGGAACAAAGGGACTTTACGTCATGTACACGGAGATTAAACGCGGTTACTAAATGTCGACGCGTGGGCGGCGCGGCGCATTGTACAATTGCATAAAACGATACACGCTCCAACTCGGAAAAAGGGATTCGGCACGCTTAGGACAACGTCCACGCCGACCTGGCGCGCGAAGAAACACCGCGCTCAACACCGGGTGCGAGGCGTTTCCGGTTGATTGTTCCTAACCTCTTCGGTTTCAGAACAGTCTATCATTGCCTAATGGATCGAGGTTAATTTTTTGCAAAATCTATTTCTTCCTATTCGAGCGATTGAAAAAATTAAAAAAAAAAAAAGAGCATTTGTGTTTCGATTATGCTTGGAAATATCTTTTTTCTTTTTCTTTTTTCTCCTTATTACTCCAGTTTTCTTTCCTAGAAACGCATCCTTGAAATTATTCTTCATTTATTCTTCATACCATTTCTTAGGTATATATTTCTAGGTATATATGTTTTTCTCTTTTCTTAGGTATATATACATATGCATATCCTTGTGTCATTTTTCTCCTTTCAAAGCTTCAATTATTTTTCTTTTTTACGTTGATTTGTTTTTCAATAGTAAATAATTATTAGAAGATCGTAGAAAAGAAGTTTATAAATATTTAATTATATTATTGAATAACTTTTTCTTTTTCTTTTTTCTTTTTCCTTTTTTTTTTTTTTTTTTTTTACATAAAACAGATGAATAAACATATATCGATTCGTTGTTTTATCTCGACGATATTTAAAGAATATTTTTGGAGAATAAAAGAAAGTTTGTCACCATTAAAGTTTTTCCGGAAGCAAGCCTCCCCATGGAGAGAAACTTATCGCGTGAAAGGATAAGG